AGGTCACAATAAAGTTGGTGGTACATTTCGATGAAATGGGAACTTTGATTTGTCTTTTTCCTCTTAGACAACAAATAGTCATTCTCAAAGTGTCATGTTTTTTCATATTGAAAGCAATTACCCATTAATTTGGACTGTCTAACACACTTTTTGAACGCCTCTCCAACTAAGTTAGCCTTGGAAATTTACCTTTGGCCTTGTGCTTTTTTTTGCTCTCCTTAACAGAAATTTGAACAAACAGATCATTAAGCCCTACTTGATTTAGCTCATGCTTCAATCCGGGTTTGAATTTGCTCCAATTTTGGGGAAACTTATTGATTATCACACTCAAGATGAACAATTTAGGTAGCATATTGTGTTATTCAAAGATATAATGGACAAAATGGTGGAATTCTTCCACATATTTAACGAACAAATTGTCTTATACCACACCATTGTCCGCAAGCTGATAAAAAACAAATCTTTTAAACCCAACATACTCGGACATTGATTTATCTTTTTGGGGTATAAAGTAGCTCTTTAACTTAATAATACATATTATAAGGTATAAAAAAATTATTACTAAGATTATTAGGGCATACGAGCATGGGTTTGGTTCACTCATCGGCATTGGTGGAGACCATGGTAAAATTTCCGAGAGTATGAACGGTGTTGATAATTTGATCGTGTGTTATCTCACAATATAATATTAGATAAATATAATTTATCTTCCGATTGTTGGAAAAATAATAATACAAATATTATTATGCGAGATGATACATTAAATAATAAAAAATAATACAATAAATTATTTTAACAACTAGATAAAGTGATGCAAAGTGGGAATGAATTCGAATTGAGAATACCTTTTGCATGCAAGATAAATTATATTTCGATAGTGCCTCCGGTGATGACTATTTGTCCCCAAAAAGGTACATCGGTTTTTGTCTCCGGCTTAGATGACACTTCAACAAGGAAGGAACCAAGCTTTGCCAAAAGACTAGGATGACTTTTCGAAATATGACTGGAAAACTTGCCCAAATGCTAAAAGATGAGTAGAGGAGGAGAGAGAGAAAAGAAAGCTCAATTGGGTGGTGTTTTGAGAATCAATGGAAAATCCTTCGTATAGGCGTCTCCAACCGACCAAAATGACATGAGATTAATTACAACTATAATTACATAATTAATTATCAACGCAATTGGTGTTGTAATTTATGTTAATTTCAAATGTTCTGTTTAAGACGGTCGTAATTTATGCTAATTTTAAATATTCTATTTTGGATGATCGTAATTTATGCTAATTTTAAACTTTTTGTTTGAGATTATCGTAATTTACGCTAATTCTAAACCTTTTGATTGAGGTTATAATAGATTTAATTTGTCTCAAGACGAGCAAAATAATCAAACATTAACCAAGCCTCATATCCAATATATAAAATATATTTATTAAATTCAGTTAATTTCGCTCATCCACTACAAAAAAAATAGTATATTTTTAACGGAATTTCGTTCTTAAAGTTTACGTAGCTAACGTAATTTCATCTCTAATTCTGTCTCTAATATCATTAGTAACAGAAAAAGTAAATTTAGGAACGAAAAAATTTCGTTACAAAATTGATAATTTCTTGTAGTGATCGATCTGTCGTATTTTTACTCATCGATTAATCAGTTCTATAATTATCATCTTGTAATGCATTGAGTAATTATTTTCGTCCAAAATGTATTAAAGTTTATGTTTGCTTGATTTAGGCGAGACACGTTGGCACACAAGAGGCATTGTGCGAAGGACAATAACCTTTCACATGAAATTGCTCCCCACTAGCCGCAATGATGGTTCCACCCAAAGTACTGTTTGTTTGGGGGTTTGGATTTTAAGTTGAGATTTGAATAGTAAAAATTTTGAATTTGAATAATTGTATGATGTGATATAAATAGGTGCTGATGTGATGTTTTAAATGTAAAATTGATTTTTAGTATAATATAAAAAATAAAAAATAAGTGTTTGATTTGATGTTTTTGGGGAAAAAAAAATGAGATGAATAGTGTATTTAAAATTCAATCCCCAAACAAACACACCCTAATCTATTACTCATGTCTTTAATCAAAATGCAATGTAGTTAATATCGTATTGTTCTTGTACAACATTCCCCGAGTGGCAAGAAACAAGCACACTATGTCCAAGATCTAACAATGCCACAAAGATAAGCATGAGTCCTTACATTTTCTAGAGCTATTTAACACCCCCTATCAAAACATCTATAATCAGCTATGTGTCAAGTAAGGCTGAATATATATATATATATAGCTCCAGCCTCCCCCCCCTCCCCACCCCACCCCTTTTAATTTTTAATTTTTTTTATTTTATAATATATAATATAAAAAATAATAAACAAATTAAAAAAAAAATTATTAAAAATTGATAGAGTATTTATGTGAAAATTTAAATTTTGAATAATAAAAAAATTTATATCATAATACTCGTTTGATGCTATAAAAAGTAATAAACAATAATTAAAAAAAAAATCTTCAAATACGTAGGAGATGATATTTTTAAAAGGTATTTTTTTTAATAAATGTTTTTATTATTTATCAATTTCATATAATACAAAATTCATCCGGTAATATACAGTTGTCACTGCAGATTTATATTTTGCAAGATTTTCGAAATATGATAATTTCATTGATAAAATTATTGGATAACAAATAGATGATGATTGTTTCGAAATTTGAAAAATTAGCACTCCCTCTCATCCCGGTCTGGTTCCGCGTCTGTGTATATAAAAATATATATATATATATATTTGACAAACAAGTCACCCTTCTAAGAAGGCCAATAAAAAACTGAAACGAACTATCGAGCACGCTTGCATAATGTGAGAAATACTTGCAATCAATCATTATATCTTATCTTTAATAGTGTTAATAATCCCATCCATGTCAAATAGGCGATCGATCGTCCACATCAATATTCATCTCAGCGTTGGCAATACCATAATATTTTCCGATACTAAAGAACAAAATTAAAGTTTACCATTGAGATATTGTCCGAAAATATGATTAAAAAAAAAATTCTATAAATGATCATTTGTTTCACGTATAAAACAAAATTTGAAAGTTTTCCATATATATAAAAATAGAATGTGTATAGTTTTTATCCTAAAATATGATACAAAATAATAATAATAATAATAATAATAATAATAATAATATCTACAAATAATGATTTGTCTCACATATGACAAAATTTTAAAATTTTCAGTGTGTTTGTTTGGGAGTTTGGACTTTTAGTTGGGATTTGAATTATAATAGTTGACAATATAAATTAGCGTTAATGTGATCTTTTGAATGTATATTAATTTTTAGTATAATATAAAAAATAAAAAAATAATTATTTGATTTGATATTTTTGGGAGAAAAAATAATGAATAATAACATTTGGAGATTTCTGCCAAACGAACACATATGTGTGGAACGTGTCTAGTGTTTGTAAACAAATAAAAATAAATAAATATAATTTTTTTGAATGCGTGAATATCCAAATCAAATCGTTATTATCTAGCAATCAACCCATCACCACTCTTGTTTTTAATTATGTTTTCAAACTTTTTTGTATTCATCAAAAGGTTTTAATTAAGTTTTTAATTATGTTTTCAAACTTTTTGGTATTCATCAAAAGGTTTTAATTAAATACAGTATTATATTAAATTTTTTTTGTTATTATTTAAAATCTTATTTAAAAGCTATACTATTATCCATGTGAATATTATATTTCATATCAATCTTTTATCAATGCTTTATTATTTCTAAATTGACCAAACAATTCAAAGCATGTTTGAACAAACTTCAAATTTTGATACTACGGTATTAATCTTTATTTTTCAAAAATATATAGTATATTATATATTTATTTATTTACATAAAATATTATATTAAATACTAATTTTCTCCTGTTTGTTAAATTTTTCATAACCTAAAAACATGTCTAAATGGAACCAAATCTTTCAAAACTTTAAGGACTCTATTCATATAACAACGCTAATTTCAATATGTTAGATAATCGGTTAATCGATTACTCGTTCAATCAATGGAATTTAATTTATAAATTAAATTCATAACTTTTAAAATCGATCATTCGGTGAGTTACAATGCATATGGGCTGAAAATTGTTATAAAGAATATGGCTTAGGCATATAACTGCCGTTAACCACAGGCGCCCGCTACTTGCCCGAACCATATAATTTGGTTGTGGGAATGTTCTTGAGCTTTCTGTATGTTAGACTTGACGAAGTCTATTATATTCGAAAACAACAAAATAATATTTGTTGAACCCAAACCTAAAATAATAATTTTGTAGGCCAAAAGATAATTGCATGTATTACATGCATAATGCATTTCATGCACATGCACGTACACGACTTAAAATCATGCTGCAAATATTCATTCAAGTCAATATTTTTTTTCAATGCAATTCATTCGTGAAGATACGGGGTATTATAATTTAAAATTCAAAATGCATAGTGATAAATGCATATGAATGAATTTTAATGCATGTTTGAATTTCATGTCTTGTGTGTACAATTTGTATAATTGGATCAACATCCGTTTCACGCGGTTTTGATATTTTGGAGTAATTTGACACGTAACAGTTCTCCTCATTTTAGTTCGTCGGAGCTCCGAAATATTGGGGTGTCACTTAATTCGGAGACGAACGTCGTTTTATCTTTGGGAACGTTGCGCCACGAACTGGAGGCACTACCGGGGCGTATTCGTTTTTACGGAAAAAGGTTATACATCGACTCGACGTGATCACCGAACTATTTTGATAAATTGATTATTGAAATTTATTTCAATAAATTGTTGTGATTATCGAATTTATTTCGATAAATTGATTATTGAATTTATTTCGATAAAATTATTGTGATATCGAATTTATTTCGATAATTATATTTTTTTTGCAATATAATATTATTATATTTTCTAACACAATCTCCATATGCTTAGTACATGAGCTTACAAAACACTAGAACAAATCGATGTTTTTTCAGTTTTCAAAAGTACAAACTATTCCATACACATGTATACAAGAATATATATATATATATATATATATGAAGATCGACATAAAGAGAAATGATCAGGCGACCATACCATAATTAGTCCTCACCGGTAAGATCTCCCCATCGGACATTATGTTTGGCGGCAAGATAGTGCGCTCCGACGGGGCCCCGACTCCCGTATGGGTACAGCTCCGGGGCCATCTTCTTCTCCTCTAGTTGCTCCAGCAGCGGCGTGAATAGTGCCCATGCAGCATCCAGCTCGTCGCTCCTTATGAATAGTCTGCGCTCTCCTTCGATCGCATCCAATAGGAGTCGCTCGTATGCATCCGGTATCTCCCTCGTGTACCTTCATGCGAGGCACATATTAACTCGATGCTCGACTCAAACTCCAATTGTCTCATAAATTGAACTTAGATAGCTCTAGCCGTCAAGAAAGAACTAATTTTTTTGAACTTTTGTCACTATTCATCGACAATAATTTAAAAAAATATACTACCTCCTCCGTCCGGTTCTAAGGGTCTCGTTTACGTGTTGATATTTGAATATTAATTATTATATCAAAATATAGTACGAATTAAAAAAAAAAATTGCAAAAATACTTCTATCAGTGCCTTATAATACTAATAAAAAAATATTTGTACAAAAAATTATACAAATATAAGAATAGTTATAATTTTAAGTACAATAACGCAAAAGATAAATGTAACCCTTAGAGACGGACGGAAAGAGTCCTGTATTACACTAAATAAACAATTTTTTTATGTTCATAAAATTTTCCAAAACTCAAAAAAATTCTATCTAAATGGAGCGTAAATCTTTCGTAATTGCTCGTTGAGCTTGTTTACTATTTGAGTATTAAATGTCGAAAGCATGAACCTTACTAGAAATTTCCAAATAGAATGTGTTATGAGTCATCGAAGAATGCTTAACAAGCCGAATAATAGGGCTAAGTTAGGCCATAGGCCTAGTCTGGCCTGATCTATTTACTAAAAAAGTCATGTCAAAGAAAATTTTAGAACTTTTTTATTTAAATAAAATAGGCTTAGGTTTAAAAAAATAAAAATAAAAAAAACGGTCTTTTTTTAATATTATTATTTTTTTCTAAAAATACTTTTTATAATTATATATTAAAAATAACTTTCTATCTAATAATAATATTTATTAAATAATTTTAATTATAAATTTTTTTTATAAAAACTAGAATTTTTTAACTTTTGCATATATTTAAATAATTGTTTATACTTTATTTATTTTTTATTTCTAATTAAATTTGCAGATAAATAAATAAAAATATTATATAGTTTTTTAAATAGACTTGTAGGTAGGCCAGACCTTTAAAAATGTAGGACCAAATTTTTAAAAAGGCCTGGCTCCGGCTTTTAAAAAAAAAAATTCAAACTTACAGACCAGATATTTTTAAAACAAGTCAAATTTATTTAGCCAAAGCCTGTCCTGGTCTGGCCAATTTTTATCCCTGACTACAACTACACAACCAAGGTATGGATCAAAGTCGATATAAAATCTGAAGGAGTGGACTTACCTGGCTCGATAGAGCAAGTTAAGGTCGCTACGATCCAATCTCATACCGAGTCCGGGAACTTTATTATTGATTTTCAAATATATCGCTTCATCCGGTTGCACGCGAAGCACAAGCTCGTTTGTAGCTTTGTCCAAATCAGTCCCGAAGTTTCGTTTGTACAAATTCCCCGGGACATGTCTGAACTGAACCCGAATCTCAGCGCTATAAAAGAGGATCGATTAAGTAAACCACCGGTAGATAATTACGTTAGAATGCAACACGAGAATAGTGACTTCACAAAGAAAAGATCGAGCTATGTACCGTCTGGTATGGAGGGCTTTGCCGGCTTTCATGAGGAAAGGGACACCGTCCCATCGAGCATTGTTGATAAAGAGCGCAGCTGCAGCGAAGGTCGGAGTCAAGCTGCTGTTTGGAACTGTAGGGTCATCAGTGTATCCCGGGTATGATTTGCTTCCCTTGCTATGGCCCTTGTATTGGCCTACGATCACATCTTCAAGCTGCAATGGCCTCATCGACCGCAATACCTTGACCTGCATTGGCATCGTAAAGGCTAACTAATGATTTTTTTGCTTGTTTAACGTTTAAGCCGTCAATGAACTTATATCGAATTCAATCGTACAAAAAGAGCTACGTTCGATAATAGCTCAATCAATTCCCTGTTTCGACACAACAATGTTCACTCAACTAATTCGACACTACCAAATGTTTTTGAATATGAGCAAGCAAAGTTTAGTACCTTCTCGTTTCTTATATCCTCGGCGGCCAAGCTAACCGGCGTCTCCATCGCAAATAATGCCAATATTTGTAGCAAATGATTTTGCATTATATCTCTGATGATTCCGTAGTTGTCGAAGTATCTATCAACAAATTATTCTCGTCAGTAATCAAATTATGCGAAGCTGTAAAAATGCTACATATGTATTGAAAAGCCTCACCCTCCTCGTCCCTCGGTGCCAAAATCTTCGGAAAATATTAATTGGACACTGCGGATGTAGTTTCTTGACCATAGCGGCTCAAATACGAGATTTGAAAACCGAAGCACAGATAAGTTCTCGACAAGCTCCTTGCCCAAATAATGATCAATTCTACATCGCCAAAACTAAGGTAGTCAATGCACAAACTCAATGAGTCTTTTCCTACCATAAGATAAGACATGATAACATACCGAAATATTTGGTCCTCAGATAAATATTGTTTTAGACATTGTGTCAACTCATGAGACGATTTTGAGTCTCGACCAAATGGCTTTTCGACAATCACTCTTGTCCATCCGGTTGTTGAAGAAGCTTTGGTACTCGCACAACGGACAACGTCCACAAATATGTTAGGAGGAATCGACAAGTAAAATAACCTATTCGATACTCGGCCACCCTGAGAAGTATTATCATCGCATCAATTTTCAAATCTTTGTATTGCCTGAGGTAAATTTGTACTTTTACTACTATAAGAAGTGCCTATTTCTATCTTGATCTCACGAGATGTTGAAATTTAATTCTCAAAATGACTCGAAATCGGTTCATTATTGCAACTAATTTCTAGTTAAACAAAAACAATGGAAACCAAAAGAGTAATTTTAACTATAAAATGGCAGTGTTTGCAGAATCAATCCTCCAAAAAGGATAAATTGTTGATACCTCTTTCTCGGTCAATTTTTTATCCAATTCGAGAAAATGTTCTTCGGAATTATACTGCCCCGAGTGGTAAAAGCACCGTTTCAGAAACTGCTTCATTTTATCATCACAGTTTTCCCTGAAAATCAGTGTTCAAGACCCTTAGATCCCAACAAACTTCAAAGATCTATGCAGGTTTTTTACAAGAAAAATACTTTGAACAAACGAAATACCTTTGATCGATTCTGCAAGTCAGTGTTCGACTGATCATGTTTCTCAGCTCCTCATCGTTCATCTTGGTCCGAGCATAACCAAAAACAACGAAATCCTGCAATACTATAAGGCTACTGAGACCATCTGAAATTACTTTGTAGCAAATGTAATGTTTTTGTGACTTGAAAACGAAACCTCAGGTAGCCAATCCTCATAGAAAAGGGCAAAAAGGGCGGGAAAGATCTTCTTCTTGGCAAGATCTCCTGAAGCACCGACAACAGTTATGCTAAGAGTTGAACCCTCTTGTCCTAATACAGGAATGCCGGTATCTTCTGTCTGAGGATTTGTAGCCGAACCTTCTGCACATAAGCATGCTTAAGGATCTCAATGTTGCAGCTTAAGTCATGATAAAAACAACTAAATCAAACAGTTAAAAGAGTATAAGGAAGTTAATCATATATCATGCATTCAAACATCAAATTCTTGAACATATATATAAATATATATATATATATACATGTAACTTGTTTTTGTGCTGATTAAATATTAATCAGTATATACTAACAACACGATTATAATCCAGCAGCCCATAAAATATAAATATATAACACAATGTATATGTTGAAATAATGCAAATACATTAGATCACAATAATCCACACAGAACATGATATCATTGAACTCGTCACATACGATATATAAAAACAGCACATCCATAAAGTTAACTTACAGCACATGGCTTGTTGTGTTAACTGAAGCCACGTACTGTCCATTTTGTATGTGCAGTGTGAATAAGCACAGTGTTGATAAGACCTAATCAGCACCTTAACTCATCCGATATATACATATACATATGGCAATGTATCTGGTAATTATCAGCACCGTATATATATATATATATATATATACAAACCCAGAGGACACTTATTTGCATCTTATACATAAAGGCACTCGAAAACCTTAACTCCAATTCATCCTAAGAAGATGCATGCTTGAACTTGACTTTTGTTGTAAAACATCAACATAAGATCGAAAACCAAAGGGTAAGAACAAAAATTTTTCACAAAGTTAAGCAAGAACGGCATTGTCCTCAATGACTGTTTTTCCCAATCACAACATGATGTGCACATGTTGTAGATTACATATAAATATACATAATGAACAACTCCTCAGTCGCCATTGTGCTGTACCTAAGCTACATTCCAACACAAGCTTATCCTTGCCCTTTCCACATGAGCACACTATTATCCATTTAGAAATTTGACAATTTTAGTCCCGTAAAGTTCCAGTGTTGCCACATCTCAGATTGTTCCGAATTAACAAGATTCTGAATTCAAAACTAAAATTGTAATTGTCTCTCTATATTCATATAATGATCCACATTTCAGAAATAAACGACAATTCTCATTGACCAATAAAGCTCCACTCACCAGCATTAACATTGTTATGACAGAGAGAACTTCAATAGCACCACCAATTTCACATATAAATGCAGAACATACTCTGAAAATCAAATAGCACAACACATGAAGCCAAAGAACATGGAACAAATAAAACTCAGCTAAACTGCTTCTCCATAATCGCAAAAGAAATTTAAGAAGATATAAAGAAAGAACGCAAAATTGCATACCATCCTGCAAAGAAACAGCATTGAGAGGGCCGTTAGAGGACCTTGGTACAAAATGACTGCTCCTGAGCTGAATTCCTGCAAAAATCTTTGGAGTCGATTTGGGGAAAAGCATTGTGCTCGTACATGGCGAGAGGATAGAGTTTATATTCTCGGAGGAAAATACGACGGAATTAGGTGAATTGAAACCCAGCAACTTAGCCATGGAATGGATGCGAAAATGAAGCTGAGGATGTCGTATCGAATTGCTCAATTTAGCCACAAGCAGATATGGCAAAACTGATCGAAGAAGAAGAAGAAGAGGTTGATGATGATGATGATGATGGTGAGGTTGGAAAAGCTCTGATAATTGAATGAATGCTACTGACGAAAATGGCACTGTGCTTTTGAAAATTTGATGCCTCACTTCAAGTTGAGGATTTCCTTTTTACATTATCCGATTATATATTTATTATATTGTAGTAATAATATAATTGAATATAATATTTTTATTATTAGTTCTTTTTCTTTCTCTTTCTCATTTTAATTATTTTTTTTTGTTATGTAATACTTCATATCTTTATATTTTCGATAAAATTTAATAAATAAAAATCACTTAACAAATATAAATGATATAATATCATAGGTTATGTGATTTTTATTTTTTTCTTTAAAAAAATAAATATTTTTAATAATATTTAAAATATACTCAAATTTTTTTTTATTTCTATCTCTTAAAAAAAATATTTTTATCTATATTTAAAATATCATATAAATAATATTATTCAAATAAAAAATTAATAAAAAAACACTAATTTCAAATTCAAACAAAAAATAATACTCCATTAGTTTCAATTTTAAAAAAATAAAAATAGCATCATTCAAATTCTTTTTATTTGTAGTCTCATCCAAAAAAATTTATAAATATTAGCCTCATTCAAAAATCTATTTATTATTTTTTATCTTACCGTTAAAATTTTAATTAAATATGATGAGATAGTTGTAACTGAAGTTGATGTGATATCTAATATGAATGTTACACAACCGTTTTATATAAAAACACGGTTGTGTTCAAACAGTTAACATGTCAAATATAGGCATATAATCAAATACGGTCATATTCAAACGGTTAAAAATGTCAAACGTAGACATATAAATATACCGTGACGAAAGTAGGAGACGCTACCGTCAGAGAAGGTGAGGAATATGCAACCGTTGGAGAGAGGGATTCCAGCGAGCATGGACGAATGTAAATTGGGGCTCCTCTTATTTATATTTTTTTTTATATGTAATTTTTTTTTAAAAAAAATATACATTGCTCCCCCTCTCCAAATTGATTTTATTCAAGTCCTAAAATGCATTTATTGATTAATTATAGTTAAATAGTCTTACCTTAACATAGATTATAACATATAATATAGTACTTCATCTGTCCCAAAATTATAGTCTGAATTGTGTTTGTCACAAAATTTAAGAAATATTGATATTATATTGACAATGGATAAAAAGTACGGATAAAAGACCTTTTTGCCCTTGTGAGTGTATTAGTGTAAAAAATTGTGATAATCGTGTAATAATAATAAAAAAGTAAGGATAGTTAGTTTACAGTTATATGATTATTTATGGAAATGAGGCTGTTGTTTTGTAATGGACAAAAATGATAAACAAGACTATTGTATTGGAACAGAGGAATATTATTTTTAAATTATAAACAAATAACATATTTTTAAAGAAATAAATTTTAAAACATTCATGTAGTTATTTTCATTTTTTGTTCTCTTTCTCTTTTATTTTATTTTATTTTTTAGAAGGAAAATTTTGTGAAATAAATTCATTATGAAATGATATCAAAATATAGAATTCAAAGACATAAATTACCCCCTCTTAATATTTTCGATTTATCACGTTGATTTTCCTTTTCAAAATTAAAAATATTTTACTATTTATTCTATTTTATTTTACTTTATTATTCATTAATTGAATATTAAAATTTTTTTCGAACATTTTGCCTCCCCAGAGCTCGGATGCTGATTCCATCACTGCCAGCGAGTTTGGGGATGTTGTCGATGAGGACGATGTCGGAATCCAAGTAGATAGCGCGGCGGACGCATAGCGGCAGGAGGTCAGTGAGGTAGCTCCGGGCGTAGTTCAGCAAGCAGTCATCGAGCGCCAACCAGATCCACGTCGAGATCAGCCCTGCCACTGCCGTGTCGTGGAATGGGTAGAACTCGAAATTGAGGTACGGAAATGAGTCGTCGGTGGTATGGTGGGTAGCCACGACGTGTCCGCTGACGTCAATGTCGACCCCACTTAAAGTTTCAAAATTTTGAAGAGTAGGGCATAGGGGTGAGCATTTGGATTTTCGGTTAGGATTTTATCAAATCAGAACCGATTCGAAAATCCGAAATTTTTGAAAAAATCAATCTGAAATAAATCGAAATAACTGAAATCCGAAATCCGAACAAAAAAAATTAGAACCAAACTAAAAAATTCTAAATTCTAAATATATATAATTATTTTTTTAATTTTTAAATGTCTTTTATATTTTATTATTTTATAATATTAAATACATATAATATTTAAAAATTAAATATATTAGAATATAATTAATAATTTTGAGTTTTTCATATTAAATTATAATATTTTCTAATAAAATATTAAATATATATATATAATAAAAAAATATATTAAAATATTATATTTTCGGGTTTCAAATTGGTTCGGATTTTAATTATATTGATCAAATTCGATCCGAAAATCCAAAATTTGTCAAAAACTCAATCCAAAAATTCAAAAAATCCAAACCAAATTTAAAATTTTGGTTTGGTTTAAATTGAATTTTCGAATTTAAGATATTTTGTTTACTCTTAACGCTGTTACTCGAAGCATCCTCAGCCGCTACAGTAATCTCCTGGTGTTAAAAGTTAATTATAAAAAGAGATTGATGTATATATATATATATACTCAATCTGCCTTACCAAATTATGTCACCTTTCATTTATTTTTTTGTTGTCTCATCTAATTATATCACTTTTTATAAAAGGAAATAATTAACAAATTTAATAATATTTAAATCTCAACTAATTAAAATCAATATATTTATAATGTATATGTTCATTTTTAATTTTGAAATATTTTTATATTAGGTATGTGAAAATATGTCGGTAAATAGATAATAATATTTTATATTGAATTATTAATTTTTTATTAATGTAAAATGTAACACCCCCAGTTGGCTCATACTGGAAATGCTACCGCCACACTGCATCATGAGGTCGTCACCTCCTACTTCGGGCCCCACAACACAGTGTTAAGGCTAAAATTAATTATATAAGCATTTTATTATTTCCAAAAAACAAGTTTATAAATATTTACAAAAACATACTCCCAAAACGGGAGGTTTTTCTAGTTAGAATTTACATATAATACATCAGATGCAGTTCACTCATTCAGCCCGTCTTTCTATCTCCCGAGACGTCCCCTGTCCCGGAGGTGCCATGCGTACCTGAATCAAATATTTTTCTTAAAAGCAGTCTAGAATTAAATCCATTTTAAGAACTAACATAAAATATGCCATGTCATGCTCGAAAATAGAGTTTAATTTCCGTCATTTGCAAAATAAATGCCATGCCATGCCCATACTGAAATAATGTAACAATAATGTCAAAATCGACAACTCATGCACATATACCCATATACATATGTCAAAGTGAGCAGCCGGAATAACCTCGGCTCCATAATAACGGCTCACTAGACTATCATCAATAAATAGCCGGAAAATCCTCGGCTCAAGGAAGGACCTGGTAAACCCATAATAATATAACGGTCACCCGGTCACTTCCATATACCCACCATACGACTCCCGCAATCAATACATGGATAGCCGAGCGTTGTCGCCATTAACCACAAGACACCCCATAGTCTGTGATAGCGAAGATAGGACCCTCCTGTCTAGCCCTACCCCGTGTAACGTAGTAGAATCCGTGCAACCTGGAATCACCCGAAGGAAACCCGGAAACTCTACTCCTCCTCGCACGCCCTAACGGGATCGCGTTTGGAGTTTGACATATGATCCTAAACTACCGGTAGACCTCACTAGTAGCTACTCCAATGAGTGGAACAACACCGAACACGAATGATTAGACCAAATACGTCTCAACTGCAATGGGTCTAATCCCTGAATGACCGTGCGACTAAGTCACCCAGTTGTCCGACTATTATCGTCCACTATCGCCAAAGTGTTACGGTACATCGGGGTCGAATATCCTAACCCCAGATGATGCCCTCGCCTAGCACTACCGCACACGGCGACTAAACGATAGATCCATAAAACATATCCGATAAATCGTGCGATGTGTGCAGCATGTCAATAAATGAATTTAATGAAAAGGGCTGGTGAGACGGCCCACCTATCCTCCTTTTCATAAATTCACCAACACGATCAAATACGTATATCAAATATCGTAAAACGAAGTTTCACACATGCATATACACACACATATATACATATATAGATGCACTGACCAAATGATTCCACATAATATCATATCAATATCAGAATCAGAATCACATGCAACATAAATACCTAATTTCTTAAAATTAGATTTAATTCCCTACTGCTTACCTCCTACCGATACTTTCTGGATTTTTATAACTTCACCCAAATCTCCTCCAACGTACACCTGTCCCATTATTTACTCAAATCAGATGAGCTTTATGCTTATTCTCAGGAGCTACCTGCTTATTCAAAAGCTAATTTCTATAATTAACTCATCGGGCTCCAAACTTTTATATTTAGTAGAATATGATATTCTAGCTATAAAATCCTTCTACCTCATAATATTTATATTGCCCGATTATTAAATAAAAATACGCAAAGGTATGAACAAGCAGGCAGGTGCAATATACTGCCGTTTTTTATTCGACTTGGATTGGTACGAAATTCTCAAAATATAACGTCGGCGCTACGAATAGGCTATTAGCTAAAGAAATTCATCGATTAAATAGCTAAATAGCCAATTTTGAATTTTTGAAGAATTTCTAATTTAATACTCCAATATCAAAATTCGTATTAAAATTTATAATCGGACTCTACGAATAGCAAGGAATACCATACCCAAGTCGGAATTGGAATCGGACGGCTAAATCTTTTTCTTCCTTTTTTTTTTTTTTTTTCTTCTTCTCCTTCGCGTTTCGTCTTCTGCGTTCCTTCGTTTCGAGGTAAGGTTTGTTTGTTTTTATATATATATATGTATAATATATATACACATATATATTATATTATTATTATTATATTATATTATATTATATTATATTATTATTAACATTAACATCTTTATCTTCTTTATTTATTTATTATATTATATTATTAAATTATATATTATATTTTATATTTATCCTCATTGATATTATTC